GATGCGAGGGTTGGCAGGGTGTGGCGAGGGTGTGGCGAGGGTGTGGGGCTCGAGGGTGTGGGCGAGGGGTGTGGCGCCGTGTGAGGCGAGGGTGTGGGCGAGGTGTGGGGCGAGGGGTGTGGAGGGGTGTGCAGGGTGTGGGCGGGTGTGGGCCCGGTGTGGGCGAGGTGTGGCGAGGGGTTGGGCGAGGGTGTGGGGCCGTGTGGGCGAGGGGTGTGGCGAGGGTTGGGCGAGGTGTGGGGCGTGTGGGGAGGGTCTGGCGAGGGGTGGGCCAGGGTGGGCGGTGTGGGCCAGGGTGTGCGAGGTTGTGGGCGCCGGTGATGGGCGAGGTGTGGGCGAGGGTGTGGCGGGTGTGGCGAGGGTGGTGGCGAGGTGTGGGCCGGTGTGGCCGCCGGTGTGGGCGAGGTTGGGGCGCCGGTGGTGGCGAGGGTGTGGCGCCGGTGTTGGGCGCCGTGTGGCGAGGGGTGTGGGCGAGGGGTGTGGCGCCGGTGTGGGCGAGGGGTGTGGGGCGAGGTGTGGCGAGGGTGTGGCGCGGAGGGTTGGTGGGCGCCGTGTGGCGCGGGGGTGTGGGCGAGGGGTGTGGGCGGGGTGTGGGCGAGGGTGTGGGCGAGGGTGTGGGCGAGGGTGTGGCGAGGGGTGGCCGTGGGCGAGGGGTGTGGGCGCGTGTGGGCGCCTGTGCGAGGTGTGGGCGCCGGTGTGGCGCCGGTTGGTGGGCCCGGTGTGGCGAGGGCTGTGGGCGAGGGGTGTGGGCGAGGGGTGTGGGCGCCGGTGTGGGCGAGGGGTGTGGGCGCCGGTGTGGGCGAGGGTGTGGGCGCCGTGGGGCGAGGGTTGGCGCGGTGTGGCGCGGTGTGCGCCGTGCGGGCGAGGTGTGGCGGGGGTGTGCGCCGCCGGTGCGCGGCGAGGGGTGTGGCGAGGGTGTGGGCGAGGGGCTGTGGCGAGGGGTGTGAGGGGGTGTGGGCGCCCGGTGTGGCGAGGGGTGTGGGCCCGGTGTGGGCGCCGGTGTGGGCGCCGGTGGGCGAGGGTGGGCGAGGGGTGTGGGCGAGGGGTGTGGGCGCCGGTTGGGCGAGGGTGTGGCGCCGTGGGGGCCGGTGTGGGCGAGGATGTGCCGAGGGTGTGGGCGCCGGTGGGCCGAGGGGTGTGGGCGAGGGGTGTGGCGAGGGGCTGTGGCGAGGGTGTGGGCGCCGTTGGCGCGTGTGGGCGAGGGTGTGGGCGAGGGTTGGGCGCCGGTGCGGCGAGGGTTGGCGGGGTGTGGGCAGGGTGTGGGCGAGGGGTGTGGGCGCCGCTGGTGGGCCGGTGTGGCGCCGTGTGGCGACGGGGTTGGGCGGGGTGTGGGCTCGTGCGGGCCGAGGGTGTGGGCGAGGGTGTGGGAGGGTGTGGGCGAGGGTGTGGCGAGGTGTGGCGCCGTGTGGGCGAGGTGTGGGCGAGGGGGTGGTCGAGGGGTGGGGGCCGGTGTGGCGAGGGGTGTGGGCGAGGATGTGGGCAGGGTGTGGCGAGGTGTGGCGAGGGGTGTGGGGCGAGGGGTGTGGCGCCGCGGTGTGGGCGAGGGTTGGCGAGGGTGTGGGCGAGGGGTGTGGGCGCAGGTGTGGGCGAGGGGTCCGGCCGCGAGCGCGCCGCAGTGGTTAAGAGCCCAGCTCTTGCGGTTTTCCTTTTTGTATAATTTGGACTTGTCTCCCTAACTTTACCAAGGAGCTACCCACCACCCCAATCACACGCACAGACACACAGATGTGTGGATTACTGTGTTGCTTCCTTGCCAATGAAATAGTTCCTGAGGCTTAGAGGAAGGTGACTATGGAATAGTCCCCTGACACTTAAAGACAGGTAGGCTAAGCCTTTTGCTTCTTTTTCTTTACCTTTGTGCTTCTCTTTTGGACGTCACTGGGTTCTTGATTACGGAATGGAGGAGAGGGGACCACAACATGTAAAGCTGAAGTTACCACTGCAGTAAGGTCTATGGAAATGTTTGCAGGTGAAAAGGAGGTGGGAGCTATTGGATGATAGAAATGGCTGGGTGACTTAGATTTTTGAAAATAATCTAAATTCTCAGAATATCATGACAAGTGCTTATCTATTTTTTATTTTCTCAGATAGATTTACATATGGTACTCTCTGCATCTCTTCTCTATATTTCTCTTCTTTAAATGCAAATTTAAATTCCTCCATATATGCAGTAATTTCAAGATGCAGAAATAAACCAGGTTGTTTGAACAAATATTTAAACATAGAGAATGAAAAGATAAATATGGGAGAATTTTTAATGGTCTTAGAGTAGAGATGGATTTTCTAAGGATGATCTCAAACTGAGATATCAAAAAGGAAGATTGGATACACAGAAATTTTAAATTTCTGTCCAGAAAACAATAAACAGTAATAGGAAAGGACAAATATTTGCAGCATATTTTAGATGAGGCCTAACTTCTTTAATTTAGTGGTTCTCAAATTCTGTAAGCATTGGAGTCACCCGAGTGGCTGCTGAACTTGAGCTTGCTGATTTCCAAGCCCTGAGACTCCGATTCAGCTAGTTTGGTTGAAGGGGCCAGAGCATTTCTAACAAGGTCCCAGTGACGGGTGGTGCTGGACTCATTTGAGAGCCATTGTCTCAGTCTCAGGTAAACAGCATCCTCGCAAACTAATAGAATACTTAGCAGAGGACAAGAACACGCAGGTTTCAAAGGTACAAATAACAGTTACTTTTAACATATAAAAAGATGCTCAGTGTCACCCAAATTAAGTAAATGCAATTAAATAAGTAATGAGAAACAGACATCATATTACATTGGAAAGGATCAAATAATTTGATAATACACCATATTACGCAAAGTGTGAGGAAATAGCGCTCAGGCACCATTGGGAACAGGAGGTGGAGAACTTGGTGGTAATTTAAAGCAACAGGCAGTCTCTGCCACATTTGAAATGCACTTACGTTTGATCCAGCAGTTCCACTTACAGGAGTTTTTCCTACAGTTAAACTTGAAAACATGATGAGATGTTTATGTATAAGGCTATTCATCGAGCAATAGATTGGAAACAATCAGTGAGAAAGTGGTTAATAAATGATGGACCGTCCCCCAGCAGGGTCCTATGCAGCTGTTAAAAACACAATATGTATGTACTAATATGGACAAATGTATAGATGCTTCCAACTTACAACGTACGATTTTTTTGCCTTTACAATGTTGTGAAGGCCATATGCATTCAGTGAAAACTGTACTTTGAATTATGAATTTTGATCTCTTCCGGGGCTAGCGGTATGCTGGGGTACGATGTTCTCTCAAGATGCTGGGCAGCGGCAGGAAGCCACAGTGCCTGGTTATCTACTCCATCTGAAGGGGATACAACTCTACAGTACTGTTCACAGATGCCTTTGTCCAATTGTAGTGAATATAGGTGTTCTGAGCAGGTTTAAGGTAGCGAGGCTAAGATACGATATTAGTATACGATATTAGTAGGTTAGGTGTATAAAATGCATTTTTGACTTATGATATTTTCAACCTACAATGGGTTTATTGGGACATAACCCCATGGTGAGTTGAGGAGCAGCTGTATATGGAACAATGTGAATATCGTCTATATTTTTGACTAGAAAGCTGTCAATTGGTATCTATCTGTCTTTGAATACCATTTTGTTAACACCTAATTATAATGCTGGTCCCTCACCAATGACCACTTAAATGTTGCTCACACCCTAAATTTTTGCTGCTAACCCTACTTTTCCATCTGATCTATGCTTTTGGCAAGAGACCATTTCTAGCAATTGAGACAAAAATCATGTTGAGTAAGTTGCCACTGTGAGTTAATGTGAAATGATTAACACATTATAGAAGTATTCAATTTTGTCTTTTTTTTAATTTCCAAATGTAAAATGTTGTTGGTTTTTGCACTGGTAACTTTTTTGTGCTATTATTATTGCAGTGACATTCTGAGGATTTTCCTTCATGACATTATCTATATCCTTTAGGACAATTCCAGATTCCACTAAAGCCGTTCCACTTCCATGGAAGCACAAGCCATGTTTGGGGCAGAGGGTTCTTGCCTGCCAAGCCTGAGACAGCCAATGAGACCAAAACCTCTTAGTTGTAGGACTTGTACCCATCAGGAACTTGTACACTATAGGAACTGTGAGTCTTTTCTTTTACCCCAGTACTTATCATCTCATTACCTACTCCTAATACCTGTGAAGACCAGCAAATCAGAGCTCCTACTCTGACCCCAGTCTCTGTGGCCTGGGCCTTTACTGGTCAAACTTATCAGGACACTTTGGCCCTTGGTGTTAGTAGCCCTATTGAAATAATGATTTAAATATCCCATGATGTAAGTATAACCCATGTTTTCCTCTGAATGTATTGTTTTGACCACTTGGTGTAGTTGCTCAGAATTCAGCTTTTGGTGTGGAAGTGTATACCTTTTATGAGGCATCTGTACCTTTTTTATGAGTCATTTCTCAAATGAATATGATACTTTGAAAGTTGCTTTGAAAGTTTGAAAGCTTTGAAAGTTGCTTGGCAGTATTATAGAGTAGTGTGAAAGACTTCCTTCCACAACATTTTAGAATACAGAGCCGCTTGTTCAGCTTTACTAATTTGGATTGGTTTGAGAGCCTTACTGGATTCGCTATTATGCCCCTATCTAGGGGTAGTAATATGTTAGTGCAGATTCTACCACAGATACCTGCATGGCATGAGTGTTCTTTCATAGCTTCCTTATGGTAGCCAAAGGCTACCCCATGTTTCTGGTCCCTAGGCTGCAGTGACCTTCTCCTCTTCTCTCATGCATGTTTGGTCTCTGCTAAACTTGAGTTCAAATGTGGCATGTGTCACTAGCTTTGTAACAATTTGCAGTGACTTTAACCATCCAGAGTCTCAGTTGCCTCATCTGTAAAAGGGGGCTACTAACAGCTAAGACAGTAAGGCGCGCTGCAGGTGAAACTGTCTAGAAGCCCTGGATTCCTGCCAGGTGGTGGGGCTTCCTGGGCTGTGTGGTGGCATTTGGTGGTTCTCCTTTCTCAGTGTCTCAGATTTGTTCTCTCCTTTACAACCTGGCATGAAGCTCATTGTCTCATAGTTGTACTTTGCTTCTGGATGGAATTCTGGCCTTTAGATTCAGCTATTTATTTTTATTTATTTGTTTTAGAGACAAAATCTTGCTCTGTCATCAGGTGGGAGTGTGGTGGCACAGTCATAGCTCACTGCAGCTTCAAACTCCTAGGCTCAAGTGATCCTCCTGCCCCAGCCTCCTGAGTAGCTAGGGCAACAGGTGTGTGCCACCACACCTGGCTAATTAAAAAAAAAATTATAGAGACAGAGTCTTGCTGTGTTGCCCAGATTGGTTTTGAACTCCTGGCCTCAAGTGGTCTTCTCACCTCAGCCTCCCAAAGTACTGGGATTATAGGCATGAGCCACTGCACCTGGCCAAATTTAGTACTTTCTAATTTACCTAGTACTCACACTTTCAAATTACTCTTAAAATGCTGACTTTTTTCCCTTTACATCTTTTTCTTTTCATTGGACTGTTTATTTTATATCTGGCTAAATTTACATTCCTTCTTTTGCCAACACTCTTTTCCTCTGTTCTTTGATGGGGCTTACCTCCCTACAGGTGCTCCTGACTGTCTAACTGAATTCATGGCATTCGAGTATGAAAGTATATGCCAGGCTTGATGTTTTGGTTTGCAAACCTTGAGCTGTTCATCTGGGCAAGGATCCTGCATGTCCTGGCCTTGCCTGGAAGGCTGCCAAGGGCTCCTCAGGCACTAAGGCCTGTGCAAGGTTGGTGATCGCTGGATTCTAGACACATTGGTGGCTGTCCCCTTTCACGGCACTCGGTGCTAACCTGCCTCGTAACTGTAACCGTAGAGCAGACAGGTAGACGTTTATTCGCGGACAGCTCCTGGGTCCGGACTATATCCCTTGCCTTCTCGTTCCATCAGCTTCTAACCTTGGCCCCTGGCTCCTCCTGACCCTGTGTTCAAATTTACTCCTGGGTAGCCTCATTCTTTTTCTGTCATTCTTCTGAAGCCCCACCAGCCACAGGCCCTGGGGATCTTGTCAGGGCTGGGAACGGTCCACGCTCCAGAGGGACCGGCAGGCACCGTCCCCCCACCACAGCACCCTGTCTGCACAGCTCCTGCTCAGCCTCCCCATAACCCTCCGTGGGAAGGGACATTGTACCTTGCTAGTATGTGTAGTTGTCTTCCCATTAAAAAATTATATTAATATATGTCCATGTCTCTGTATTTTAAAATTAATTTTAAAAACTTAAAAAAAATCAAATCATAACTATGGACCATGTAGCCGCCAGCTCACAACCTTTCCTTCGATTTGCAACCGGAGTCCCAGGTTGCCTGTCTCAATCTCTGCATTTTGTGCCCGCTCCTCCCCCCCGCTGCCGCCCAGCTTCCACCCGTGATGCCGTCGAGTGTCTCCTGCTGGGTTTGCCCATAACTGTCACTGCTTCCCACGGGTGGCACTCGCCAGCACCGTTTGACTTTGCTTCTTAGGGCCGGTTCACACCACGCAGCCCTCTGTTTTTGACGTCCTTGCTTTCCTCAGCTTCCACGACACAGCCCTCGTGGAGTTGCTTCTGCCCTCTGCTCACCCTTGCTTTTAGTTCCTTGCAGATCCACTGCTTTCACCAAACACCACATTCTGCAGTCTCTTGAGGCTATGTCTAAGCCAGCCACACTTTCCTCTTTGCTCCCATGTTGTTCTCACGTCCGCGCGGCCGCCACCCGCCTCAGCGCAGGCAACTCCGTGGCTTGCCTTCTCGTCCCACCTGTCTGCCTGGCGTGAGTTCCCGACTGCCCCAGTGGCACTTGGAGAGCTGTGTGCTGAAAAATCAAGCTCCTGATCTTTCCCCTGGAACCTGGCCTTTGGCCAGCATTCTCTCAGTGAATCATCTCACCCCATCTGTGCAGTCTGTACGCTGGAAGCCTTAGGAGTTTCCCTTGATGCGCCCTCCTCCCTCACTCCACCTCTGAGCCTTTCCGCCACCAACCTGTCACCAGTTGCTGTTGATGTCACCTTAACTGGTTTCCGTCTTCCCTGCTATCACCGTAGTCCAAGCTGCCTTTGTAGCCCCCTCCTTCCAGTATCTGGAAGACCCCTAGCTGCCTCCCTCCCCAGGGCCTGCACAGGGCACACGGTCTGGCGGGCTAGTGCTGCTACAGCAGAGCTCGTGGACATGGCCAAGCAGAGCATTGCCCTGCCATCCAGATGGTGTGTGATCTGCACTAGGACTCTGTTGTTGCAGCCTGGTACTTCCTGCTCAGCCCCCCGAGGCAAGTGACTAGAGCAGGCGTGTGGATGGAGTCACGGCCAAGCAGAGGTGAAATCATAGAGCTCTGCTTACATTTCTCTTGCCTGAGGCAAATTGCTTAGCCTGCCCTTCCCAGTGTGTTCGTTAGAAGCAACACACAGATTCATTTATGCATTATACAAATTCTTTGTGTACTCTTTCTATGGGCCAGGCAGTGTTCGAGCACTGGGCTGACGGCAGTGAATGGAAGAGATGAAAACCCCTTATGGGGCTTTTAATATAGTGGAAGTAAACACAAATTCTAAAAAAAGGAAATTACTTGCTGTGCAGTAAGGGATACATGCTCTGGAGAAAATAAAGCAAGAAGCGGCCACAGACTGCCAGGGTTGAGGTTGGGGTTGTAACTTGAGACAGGGTGGTCAGGGAAACCCTCACTGGGCAGGTGGTGTTTGATCACAGGCCTGTGGGAGGCAAGGGGGTGAGCCCTGCGGTCATCTGGGGTGAGAACGGTCCAGGTGGAGGCAACAGCCGGTGGGAGGCTCTTACACAGGAGCACACGGGCTTGTCCGGGAGCCAGGAGAAGCCCGGTGTACCGGCTGGAATGGAGTGAGTCAGGGGCAAAGCTGTGGAAATGAGGGCAGGATGTGGGGCGGGCAGGGTGTGGGGCGGGCAGGATGCGGGGCGGGCCGGGTGGCTGTGCAGGGTCTGGGCACAGGAATCCCACCTCCTGGAGTCTGGGTGGAGTCTGAAGCACCTGGCCACCTGCAGTAGTGCAGGGCAGAGATGGCAGTGCTGGGAGCCTGGGAGCAGCACGTGCTGCTGCTGGAGTGGCCTTGAGGTACAGGACAGTGAGAGCAGGTCAGGAGGACTCCCAGGGCCTTGGTCTGGGTGCCCGGAGGGACATGTTGCTGTGGACTGAGAGGAGGAGACCGTGGGGGAGCCCTTCAGGGCCCAGGCTGGCAGCTCAGTCTCACCGGTGTATGATCATAGTCGGGGCGTGTCTGCGCTGCGCCCGGGAGGCGGGAGGGGCCCTGCGCCCGGGAGGCGAGGCCCTGCCGTGGGCGCGCAGTCGGGAGTGGTTGGCTTATGGATGATGCGTAAAGTCCCGAAACCACATGACCCTGCTGACCGAGTAGTAGAGCCGCGAGGGGAGGAGTCACAGGGTGGGGACGTGGGCTGTCTTCTGGGCCCGCTCGTTATGGGTGACAGCACTGGCCCACCTCTCCCACCACCGCCCCGGTGCTAGCCACCCTCAGCATGTATCGCTTGTCGCCGGAGCGTCCTGGCCAGCACCGTGCTTCCATCCTGCCTGTCTACCCACAGGGCCACAAAGGGGTCCTTTTATAATGGAGGTCGCATTGTCACTTCTCTGCTCAGAGCCCTCCAGCGGCTTCCCAACCTTCTCCGAGTATCAAATAGTGGCGCGTTTACAGTCCTCTGCGTCCCGCCCCTCCGCGGACCTAGTCTGCTTCTGCTGGTGAGAGCCGCCCGAGCCTCCCGGGTGCCCGGCACAGAGCCGCCCGGGTGCCCGGCACAGAGCCTCCCGGGTGCCCCGCGCAGAGCCTCCCGGGTGCCCCGCGCAGAGCCGCCCGGGTGCCCCGCGCAGAGCCGCCCGGGTGCCCCGCGCAGAGCCGCCCGGGTGCCCGGCGCAGAGCCGCCCGGGTGCCCGCGCAGAGCCGCCCGGGTGCCCGCGCAGAGCCGCCCGGGTGCCCGGCACAGAGCCGCCCGGGTGCCCGGCACAGAGCCTCCCGGGTGCCCGGCACAGAGCCGCCCGGGTGCCCGGCACAGAGCCTCCCGGTGCCCGCGCAGAGCCGCCCGGGTGCCCGGCACAGAGCCGCCCGGGTGCCCGGCACAGAGCCTCCCG